CATCCTACCGTCTGTGCCACCTGCACACACATCGCCGTTTGTACCAGAACATCACTCAGATGTTCGGCGAGATGTTCGAGTTCGTCGAGGTCACGGAATGAGCCGTCCAAGTCTGCGTGCACAGGCATGAAATCCGATCTATTTACCTGCCTAATTTGGTAAGAAGGTTTGACCCGCAACTCAGGCCTCATCCACTTGCAGCGCAAAACGAGAGCCGCGGTCGAGTCGACGAGCCCATTGCTAGTCTAGGTTGGTGCCGGTGCCGCCAGTGCCTGAGTTAGCAGCTAGCAGCCGACGGCCGTCGCTGAGCATTTTCCTCGGCTGCATGACATGATGTCGGACCAGCCTCTCCAGGACGTCTCGCATCAGGCGGGCGGAGATCGTGCTCTGGACATCAACGTACACTGCCGATCTGCGCGCACATGTCGTTACGCAGAGGCTCACACTTCTCAGGGTCGAGATGCACGGCACAAAATATATTTACGATCTTACACGCCAACTGGGTCTCTTGCTCGCCGCCGCGCAGAGGTCCTTGTGCAGGCCAGGAGGATTGTGCTTGAAATCAACATCCTGGCCCCGGACGAGCTCGCAGAATGCATCCGCCAATGCCGTAGCTCGTCCAATGCAGCGGCGCTGGTGGACTTGGAAACAAGGGCGGGCTGTGTCAGGATCCCGCGTACGAAGCGCCGCCCATCTGAAGCGAGCGTGTCCTCCGTCGTCGAATCGAGACCAGATGGCGAGACGCACCATGCCGGGTAACCACCCTCGCCCCTCCCGCGGTGCGTCCGCGCGCACGCTCCCCCGCTCGTACCATGTCTCTCGGCTGATCGTGGCGCATCCTGGTTGGTGCGCAACCCAGCGGGCTCGGTGCGCTCCCCGGTCCTCTCGTAAAGACGTCGCCCCGTTCCCGCCAGCAGCCGTTTCCACACGACGGGGGATCGCTAGGCTCGGGTGGAAGCTCGCCGCACGGACCATGGTGCGACGGGCACGGAGGACGGCCCTAAATCACGGCGGGAATAAGTACGAGCCCGGCGATGCCGACGCGGGCGTACTCACCGTTCCCTTGTCCTTGCACTCTCCTAGCAGACACGACCACCTTCCCCTCCCCTCGCCGAGCCTCCTCCCTTTCTCGTCGCCGGTCCTCGCACATCGGGAGCTGCGGCACCTTGCATCCTGCGCCGTACGAGATCTGTTAAATGTAAGGTGTGTCAGCGTCGCTCAAACCGCCCGTAACTTGTCACTGACCTCTCACTCTCTCGCTAGCTCGTGCCGTAGGCGTGTGGCGTACGGCGTGGCCGATGCGAATGCGGCACCCTCGAATCCATACACTGTACCGGCTCCTGTTTCAGTACGCCCTCTTCTTGCGATCTTGCGATTTGTACATGCTCTTACTAGCTGCATAGGGTGGCCTAAGGCATACGAGGTGCACGTCGACTCGGTGTGTACGCATAGGCTGTGTGCGACGTCGCACGGCAAGCTCGTGCCTGCATGGGTGTTTCAGGTGCGTCAGCGAGCCCCCTGGAGAACGAGCGCATTCGCCTCACATACCTCTTCCGCAGTCGGTTTCTCGTGGACGAAGACGGCAGCTGGGAGGCCAGATACCATCGCCTGCACTGCGCGGGCGTCGAGCACCGCACAATGGCGTCGCGCGGACGTCCGGACGGGCCTACATCGAGCGGTGAGCAAATCTGACATCCTTCTGTGTGACTACACGCTGTCTTACTTCACTACGGACACGGGAGATGGAGCGCGGCCTTGAGAGATAGCGCGTAGTGCGCTCTTGGCACGCGGGAATGGCGAAGCTATTACGGGGAACGAGACGGCACGGTCAGTCTGGCAGTATCCTTGTGGACGAGATGTGTCGCTTACCGTGCACGTCGCCCAGCGTCCACCGCGCAGAGGAAGAACAGGGCGGCCCCCTATGTGCGTCATCACACAGCCCGCCGCGCTGTTTCTCGCCGGACTCCTTGCGCCCCCTGGGACGTACGAGGGCGCGCTGTAAGAGAGGTACGCAGGATGGCGATGTGCGTGTCTGTGCACTTATCGCGCCGTCGCAGACATTCGTTCAAGGACTATACTACGGCCCAAGCCGGCGCACACCGCGCACACATCGCGCGTGGCGGCCCCCGAACCGTCTGATGGACGTGCGGTGAGTAGACTGTCTGTCTCCGAGCCGGGACACAGGGGTGAGCTCACCTTCGAAGATCTTCTCCCGTTGATTCGAACCTTCCGCATCGCGGCCGCCGGCGATCTATTGAGGACACGGGTGAGTGCGACAATCCGGACGCGCGCGCTGTATCGCTCACCTCGTTTGGCCGTCCCAGCACGACCAAGGCGCGCCGAGGCCGCCTAGAGCGACGAGCACGGCGTCGCGGGCGTCGCAGAGGACGCACTCCGGGCGCTTGGCGGGGGACGGCGGCAAGGAGGCGGTGGCGAGGGAGGCCTAGGGTATAGGTATCGTATATACACTTCAAGTGCGTGACCGGGAGAGGCACGAGCTCGACGAGAAGTCCGCTTCACCGCTGGGCGGAGAGCGGTGTACATTGCGGTGCTAAGTATACGCCCTGCGGCGGCGGTCTCCAAGGCTGCTTAGGCGCAGGGGGCGCCGCCGGGGGACCGTCGACGGGCGCGGGAACGGCATTGGCGTCGGCGATGGCGACGGCTGCTGGACGCGCTCCCTCGGCGTCGTTGTCTGTGTGTGGCGCATCTCCCCCGCACATCGCGCCCGTAGCTACCACTGGCAGCGCACGCGAAGGTCTACGTGGCCGCCCGCGGGCGTGGTTCGCGGCACGGAGGTGCGAGGCGGGCCACGCACGAGTCACCCGCGAGCGGCGGAGACAACCGCGCGCCGCCCGCCCGCTCTGCGCGCGTTGCTGTCCCTTGCGACACGTGCGCACCGGCGTAGAGACGCGGTGCGCGTCGCTGACTCGTCCGGAGCTTGGGCGATCCGCGCCAGGCAGCGACGACGCACCCCGCACCGCGCACGCGAACCTCCCGCCGCCAAACCCGTCAAAATCAAAGTCGTCCCACGCGCCCAAAAGCGACGGGGGCCGATAGCGGGTGCGCCGTGGCGTGTGCTGGCCAAACGGCGCGGTCTCCCGGGGCGGGAGCGCGGCGGGACGCGCGCTTTTGTATGTCGTTTCGCAGTTTGCCAATGAAATCGACCGAAATGGCCGGATTTTTTTTTGCTCCGGGCGCGCTGGGACTCGGTGGGTGTATGCACCGGTGTGCACGGGGGCTCGCCGTCGTGTTTTCTAAGGATTCGGGGCCGGCGTCGAGGTAGGGCGGCGATGGCATGTGGGAGTGCCGGGCTGCCGGCGCGAGACCGCGTGCGCATGGGCGACGTCGATGCGCGGTGGCGGGGTCGTCAGGCATGGTCGAGAGGGATCCCACGATGGTGCAGGCGCGCGAGAGGGCTGGGGCGAGCGGTGCGGAGCGTGTTGTGCGTGTTTTGCGTTGTGGGCGACCTGAAAAGACGACACTGTGAGTGCTGTTCGCGTGCGCGCAGGCTGAAAACGCGCCTGGAGCAAGAGTGCATACGAACGTACCGCGTGATCATGATTTGGCGTGCGCAACCGGATGGATGTCGCGGGAACGCGGGTGGAAGGCTGTGAAGCGGTCGCCAGCCGGAAAACAGCTTTCCGGGCGGAGGACGTTGGCGACAGCTTACCGGGTGTAACGACGGCGTATTCCGAGTGTTCTCGACCGTGATGTCACCGTTCGAGTGGTGGCCGTTGTGTTTTTCACCCGGGGCGAGGAGCTTCTTGGGGTGTGTACCGCATGGCGCTCTGTGGGGACGCTGTGAGCGTGTTTCGCAGAAGAACAAGCTGGGAACGCACCCGGTACGAAAGTAGAACGTGCTCAATGATGGCGCACATACCCTATACCGGTGTGCTGTTGTAGATAGCTGTACCATCGACAGAGGGTGGAGGCGTTGACGCTCTCGTGTGGACCGAATTGCAGGCGAACGGCGTATGCGCTCTCTTAGCGCGCGCGAGCGCGTCATCGTGCAAGCCTGATGTACGTTCCACAGGCGTTTTCAGCGCGAGCAGCGAAATACGCGAACGGCACGGAAGATTTTTGGCGGGTGCGTGTCGGAGGTACTGTGTTTACGCAATAGTGAGCGCGATTCGCATCGAGACGAGCTACGAACTTACCTGATATTAGATCTTGGCGCTATCAACCTCGCTGCATACGTCGCTCGCGCGCCAGCTGTCTAGGGGAGAGCCAAATGAGGGAAGAGTACACGCGGGGCGGGTGAGGACTGCACACCTATGACCGCTTCGGCGTGCTTGTGCTCGCAGTAGTGAGCTGGAGGATTCTCCGATGATCGAGCCCTTGAGCAGCCTGAGAGGGGTCGAGGCGGAGGTAGGGTGCATCGTGTTCTCGAGAAACGCAGGCGGCGCTGTTGCGGGCGGCGCTGCTGCATGCAGAGTAGAGAAGGAGACACACATGAAAAGGATAGAAGCGCCCAAAGGCGGAGAGACGTTGAAAGGTATGCGCGGATGGGCAGCAGCGAGTGCGGGGAAGGGCAGCAGCTAGAATGTGAGAGCGATGTAGAGATCAGTGCGAGATCTGGAAAGCGGACGTCGAGCAGACCGCGAGTCCGCCAAAACACGGTCTGAGCAGAGGACCACCTGCAAGTGCATCGCAGCAGGGGCGAGGTGGGGTCGACGTTGAACCGGGCGACGTCTACGACGGCAGGAGAGGAGGGAGCTCGAGAGCAGCGATCGAGCAGCTGCCAGACGCGTGACGTCACCCCTCCTCAATCGATCCCGTGCCGATCGGATTCGCTCTGCACGCAGGCGCCCCTCGGCTCGGACCGAGCTCTCTTTGGCTGCAACCGACTCGATAGATCGTCGCCTTGGGCGTACATATGCGCAGAGCACCGCCCACCGGGCTGCGCATTCATG